GGATACAACACTGTGGAGATACAACTCATCACTAATCATGAATGTTAACAAGGTGCTAAAACAAACCGTACTGTAAGCTCAGAAGTGAAACCTCGGTTATAAGGAGGGAAAGCGGAGAGTTACCAGAGGATGTAATTTAAAGGCCACAGTAAAATCCTTTCCATGTGAAGTTTACATCTTACAGAGATTCAGGAGAACAGCCCTTTTGTGTACTGAGCAAAGGTAAATGCATTTGATTTGTGAACTCAGACACAGTACCTTGTAAGAGTCCACAGTGACCAAGTGCTGGTTAAGAATTGGGTTTGTCAGGTAAAGTCTCTACTGCAACTTTGTAAGATGTGAGAGCTGAGGCATAGAGAGAAGATAGCTCTTTTAGATGCCTGTAACTAGGAAAGGGTATTAGTCAAGGCCTAGGAAGTGACCATGCAATAATTAGGAAGTTAATGTACTGATATCCAGCTTTCTCTTTTTCTTTTCCCATCTTTATATATGTTTTATCTGTAAACAATGAAGCTGTAAACTACCTGAAGAAGGAATGACATGCTCTTTGGTTATTCGTATGTATGAAGTACTTGGTGGATAAAAAAATATAGCTTTGCTTAGTGGTGCCTATTAAAAGATGGCTTTGGGACAGCATCTCCCAGATGAAGAGCTGCACTGGTATTAACAGTGTAAGTCAAAATGGCAGAGGCAGGATGAGAAACCACACCAGCCGTAGCACTGGGACTGTCACTTGTTAGAGGTAGTTCTTCTTAAGGAAAACAGGAATTTGTAGCAGAGCCATGAGTCATTTAATGATACCAAGGATCACTGCAGATGGTATTACCTCTTCTGGAAAATGTAAAATGAGTTTGTTTTCAATTAAAAAAAAAAGCAGTATTTCTCAACTGATTCAAAGGCTATACAAGTTTTTCAACCTATGTACAAAAAATACAATTACAGTCATTAGTAGTAAAGGCAACGTTGCTTAATTCTTGCAGTTTGCATGTCACTGTTTGGGTAAAAAATTTGTATGCACCAAGTTGAGTAAAAACCATGAAAATAATTGATCAAAATCTACCAGTTTCAATTGTAAGAAAACAAACCCCTTATATTCTTGGAAATAGCATTTGTTAAAATGGGGATGTATTGTAACACTAAACATAGCTGTTGGGGTTTTGCTGATCCAAATGACTGTTCAACTGGGGCTCTGAGACATGTAAGTTTAAGAAGGGTGATCCCTCTTTTGTTACCCACAGCTGTTCTGAATTACTTAAGCAGTAAGTGCTGAGTCATGTTGGAAAGCTTTAAAACAGAGGCAAGATACAGATTGATGTTGAAGAAAAAGAGAATCCTGTGAACTGAAAAGAAGGCTATTTCCAGGTGGAAAGATGGACAGATGAACAACTACTTACGATACATAATAGTTCGGGGTTTTTTTCTGACCTTGAAGCCTCATAGCAAACTGTTTCTTCATTTACAAAAATTGGACATCAGGTGGATTTTACTCCTTTAGGTGATAGGTAAGTTGAGTTATGTTCCTTCCTTATTGTAGCTGCAAGGGTACAAAAGCTGCATCTTTTCCAACTTCTGTTTCAAATAGTGCTGAGTAATTATTAACTTCTGCTCAAGGGTCAGATGGAAAGCAAAACAAACAAAAAACATTTGCTCACTGTAGTTTCATAACTTCAGTCATATTTTTTGTTTGCTGAGCCCCCAGAGCTATGTGCGTTGTACTGATGTGGCAATGTATTAGAACCTTCCTATGAAGGGACATCTGGGGTCAGTGACAGTCTGACACTTTAGTGTGTGACAGAGAGAAGTGTGTGTTAGAGCAGGTATGTTTTTTTTTTTTTAATTTCTATGCCAGTGTTGTGTTTTCATTCCTTCATCTGTTTTGTGGTGGCATATACCTATGCCCTTAAGGAGCTCTGTCATTAGTGGATTAGTACCATTAGCTAGCAAATCTCCAGGTGGAACTTTTACTTGGAAATCTTTAAGAGACAATCTGTAAATAACTGCTAATTGTATTTATAATAATCATCAGCTGCTATGTAACAGGCTAAATCTTCATTTACAAAACTAAAAGGGTAGAAGAGCAGCGTAATGTGTATTGGATGCTTTTCTGCTTGCATACTCTGGGACAATGCAGAAAAAGAGAATTTAAAGTTCTTAATTTGTTTAAAATTTTCTGAAACTTGTGAAATATTTGTGGCAGAATCCCTTTCCAACTACCACTTCACAGCTTTTAACAAACCGTAGCATATGCTTCACAGTGGCAGCAGCATCTCCCAAAGTCTGTGTCAACAAACTCTGGCAGCTGTATTAACATCAAAAGGTTCTGCTGCAGTGCTACTACCTTGCTTGGCAAGAGGTCCATTTAGAATTCTAGACTTGTGTAGTTTAGGAAGGGCATCTGGAAGTCCAACTCCCTGCTCAAAGCCGTGTAAGGTAGCACAGTTTGCTCAGGACTTTGTCTAGGTAAGCTGGACACACAATCTCTCTGGGCAACCCGTTCAACTACCCTTACAGTGAAGAAGAGCTAGTTGGAATTTCTCGTGCTGCTGTTTGTGACCATTGGCCCTTGTCCTGCTGCATGATGCTGAGTCTGACTGTCCTCTCTACACCTTCTTATTAGGTAGCTGGAGACAGTAGCAGTGCTTCCCCACCCCATGCCTACCACCACCTTCCCTTCCCCCTCCATTCTCTCTGGAAAGCTGAACTTGACTCTCACTGTTTCTCAGATATCTTGTGCTCCACCTCCCTGTCCATCTCTGTGGCCTCTCATGGGACTGCCTTCAGTGCACCAGTCTATTTTGTACCGGGGAACTCAACATTGAACATGGATGTGGCCTTGAGCGCGGAACAGGGGTGAAGAAACCCTTGCCTTGAACTCCTGGCTATGTGCTTGTTAGTACAGTTCAGTATGCGGTTGGCCTTCTTGGTCACAAGGGCATATTGCTGAATCCTGTTCAACTTGCTGTCCAAGAGCAAATTGTCTTTTCTTGTAAAGCCACTTTCCATCTTGTTGGCTCAAAATTGACTGTTGTGTGGGGTGATTGTGTCAGGATTTGTCAGGTGCAGGATGGTGCATTTTCTCTGGTTAAACTTCATGAGATTTCTGTCAGCTCACTTGTCTGCTTTTTTGAGGATCCTCAGAACAGCGTTCCCTGTTCTCCTGCATATTGACTGCTTCCCCTTCCCCTACAAATTAGTATTGTTGGAAACTTGCTGAGAGTGGAATCTGCATCATAAAGTAGTAACCAATTATAGCCCCTTAAGAACATTTCTGTTAACTGGTTACCAGTTAGATGTTGTATCACTGATGACCATGTTTTGAGCTTGGCAGGCCAGACCATTTTCCATCCATCTTGTAGTCCAAATATACACTCCGTATTTCACTGATTTGGGTACAAGGACATTTCTGGCATGTTCCTGTCTAAACTCCTGCTGTGAAGTAATCTTTCAAATCTGATGCAATATTTTATAGGTGGCCCATTATCACGTGGCTCCTTTAGAGTAAGCTGAGTTACTGCACACATCATACACAGTATAGTTACTCCCACGTTAAGAACGATGAGAACTGGGTTTCAAGTTATTGAAAGGTTTCTGTTTCATGTAAGTTTTCACTTTTGAGTAAGACAACAAAAGCTCTGAGATTTGTGCCTCAGTCAGTGTGGTTTGAATCAAGGGCTGTGAATTTGGCTTCCAATTGATAAAATCCTTGACTACAACACATTTTCAAAGTTAGTTTGTGTGAATAAAGGTGGAGAACAGAGTACTTAAGACTCTAGCTTTGTATTCAAGAGACGCTGCACCACTGTGACTTCATGCAATTCCTACCACATCACTCAAATACTGATTCTTGCATATGAAAACTCCCCTTCCATTGGTGCAATTCATAACGTGTACATTTTGGAACTTTGGCCGGCCTTCCTTCAGTACTAAGTATGAAATTGGGTCTTGGATAGTGGGAAGGAAAAAAAAAAAAATCATACTAACAATAGTAACACTAGGCAGTTTTATCTTTTCAAGGACATGAGCCAGTCTTCATGAAAACTCATGTTTTCAAGTTGTGGAAAAAAAAAAAAAAATAGACATTAAGGGTCGATTTTATTGTTAGGGAGGAAGGAGAGGAAACCAACCTAAAGCGTTTCTAAAGCATGTGATGTCATAGATACAGCTTTTAAGTACATGTCAAAACCACAGAAGTATGTGGATATGTATTTGCTACTCGATAGTTAACTCATGGGTACATCAGGTCTCCTACAATGATCAAAGCAAAAGACCTTTTTCTACTCCTATGCTTTTCTCCAGACTTTTGATATTTTTTTTTTTTTTCCCCCCCAGAGATGTGGCGCTCTCACTGTTATTTGCCCCTGCTTTCCAAATCTAGATGTAGCAACTACTTTAAGTGCATGATTATATTAACTGCAACTTTTGGAAAAGGTGAATGGCTGCTAGACATCATTTAATGTAAGAGAGTGACTCTTGCTGTAGAGATTGAACATTATCTTCCCATTCATTATATTTCTACCTTGCTGTGAACTAAGTTATTTCTCACACAAATTACAGGAAATATGGACTATAAAATACTGATCCATTCTGATTTATCATCAGCAAATATGATGAATACTGTCCTCTAAGGTTAACTGCAATGGCAAGCTCTATCAGATAGATGAAAAGTTGGCTCGGTCTCCCTGAGGAGAGATACTGACATGTTCCCAACCTTAAACAAATTATTATTGTTAGCATCTGATCCTAGTTAAAGGACCCATTTGATTCTTCTATTTCAAAAGTTAAGTATTTAAACTTATCATAAGGAAAAAATATTTTGAAGAGAATGATACTGGAAAGGGTTTGCTATCTTCTCATTTGAGTTAAGCAGCCGTGCACTGTAACCAGTATTTGCTGTTACATGTACAAAAGCCTATGGTTCTAAAATAGTAGCTTCACCTTCTGTTTCAACAACAAAAAATAGGTCAGAAGTCAGGTCAAGCCCTACTTCATTTCAGACTCAATGGTGGATCTGAATGGTTTAAACGTGACAAGCTATGCTTCAGAGCCCGAACAGGTATGCTTAAACACGAGTACAGACAAAACTTTGTGGTGAATACTGTTTAGCATGCTGTATTGCATTATGTCCAAAACAACCCATTCCCAAATGCCCAAATAAAAGTAAATGATTGTGCATTGCATGATGATACCATTCGGTGTGCAGCTTTGGTTCATGCAAAGTCTCATTTTATGGACACTGCTGATAGTCCATATATTCCTGAAGATTCTGCATACGTGAGCTTTTCAGCCGTGTTCTTTCCATAACACTAAATGGATACTATGGTCTGGCATACTGGTGGCAAAAACCAAGCCCATATCATTTTGGCCATTTAGTCCGTTTAACCAAGACATTTCACCAGCCAAAAAGCTTGAACCTCGCTTTGACTTTCTATACTCTGGTAGAGGCCAGCGGCTTATCAGTTTTTCTGTCCTCAAGTCCATTATATACAGGTATCTGTTATCAAACAGTAGAGCAAATATCTCTCCAAAGCCCAGCAAGGACACGTTTGAGAAGTCAGGAGGTTTGATAACCCTAGAAGACAAGACAACAGTGTTAGAAACTGTCATGATGTAGTCATGAACCTGTATTACTTAAACAAATCCTTATGCGTCTGTAGAAAGTAAGTGTCTAAACTCATGATTCTGAAAGCAGTTAGAAAGAACTGGATGCAAATTTTTCAAACTAAGCAACTGAATGCTTAGATGCAGTCAGGCCTGTAGTTTCAGTTCTGGCTTTGTGTATTCAGGACAGACCCTTCTGAACATAAGTAAAAGTCAGGGTTTGGAAGGGATTGTGCAGAGCACACCGGGGGGGAAAAAAGGAAAAAAAAAAAAAAAAAAAAAAAGTCTTACGCCTAGGTACACACAAAAGATCAAATGTACTTGTGTTTTACACTAAATTTCCATAGGGATTTCATGCCTCAACATCTTTAAATTAAAAGGTAAAACCTCGAATTATTCTTTTGTCCACTCTTTTAAAAAAGCTGGAAATAAAATGCAGAAATGCCTTCTTGTGATAAGAAGATAAGATAAATCATTCAAGATTGGTCCTTAACAGAAGGCTTTTTTATTCACACTTAGCATAAATTATGCATTTTAATCTTAGGGAGAAATAAAAGTATTTGTTAGTTCCCCTACACCTTTAGGGTATTTTTTGCCTTAATAAATAAAACTTGGAACAGAAATTGAAAAGAGTAAGTTTTCCACAACTGAACAAACACCTGATCATTGCATTACATAAAGCACAGAACTGAGGCACAAAAATGTACGGAGATGAAAAAATCTGTTCTCAGTTTACCCTTCCACCTTTCAAATGAGAAAGAGGTTCACTTACTGCTAAGAGGTGAAATTACTCAGTTATTCTTACTGACAAGAAGCACTTCTTTTGGAGTAGATCTTCCTATGGTAGATACACTACAGATATTCGGGGCGTTTCAACTAAGAGTCTGCTAACAGTTCTAAAATGCAATTTTTTCTTTAATAAGTTACAATCTTTGCCACCATTTCTAACAGATACAGACTTTTTATTTTTATGGAAACAGAATGCCATCCTGTTTGATCCCTTACTGCAATCTGATAGATTTCACAGCGTTATCAAGAATGACGAATAAGTAGTGTTATAAGGAACAAGAATCTTTTTAATTTCTTGTCCCATGAAAGGACCCCAGAAATGGCGACCTGGCTCTCTGTACAGCAGTCTCCATGGCAACATTAACTTCTAGTCAGTACAGTTTCACATTCACAACATTATTCTCATACTAAATCCAAAACGCAGCACTATACCAGCTACTAGGAAGAAAATTAACTCTGTCCCAGCCGAAACCAGGACACAACTACAGCACTGCAGTTCGATTTAAGTCTATATTGAAACTCTTCACCTATGGAATGAAAATATGAAAGAGGACTAGTTTGTGTCCAGAAACTAAAATAATAACCAAATGACTCATATTAACAGATGATAAACTAGAATTAAACCTGGCAATATTTGTAAAGTAAGATGTTTATAGAATTTTTATCAAGATTCTTTTGGCCTACATCTGAAGTTATTAAAATGAGCATGTTCTGCTTCTTATTTATTTAAAGAAGTCTGAGTCTTAAACTGAAAGATTTACCTGAGAATATCATAGCTGGCAAAGTCCCACTGGTATAATCCTAGTGCTGAACTGCACACTATGTATTTACCATCAAAGTGCAGTCTAGGCTGTAGGGAGATGCTGCGATCTTCAGAAACAGACAGCGTTTTTAAGCATTTGCAGTTTATTTCCCTTCCAATAGGCCAAATCTACAACAGTTTAAGACCATAAAACATTCACATTATAAATTGTCACACAAATAGAGCAAGCCTTACAGTCTCTCTTTAAGCATCGGGTAAACATGTGCATGTGTTTTTCAGAAATATTTCTCTCCTTTAAGTAGGAACATCAACACTTCTAAGTGACTTGTCTTACAGTATTGTTGCAGTGTTGTTTCTAGCCTAAAAAAATCCAAGTGAAAATGCCTGCTTTAAAGAACAGCAAAAAATCAACCATCCAATTGGACAGAAATGTAAGAATGTTTCAGTTATGAAGCGCTTCCACAGCCACAAACTATTTATGGCACTCTCCAACCCAAAAGTCCCCAACAGTAACAGTACTTGCAGTTATGTGCTTCACTGTCAAGTTAGCACATTAGGCACGCACTGAAAGCACTTATTTTTGTATTACCATTCATGTAGAGCTATAACTTAAATCTAAACATGAAGGAAAGCATTGAAAACTTAGCTTCCAAAGAGTTGCATGTCTTGCACGCAACTCTACAAGTGGGGAATATGGAAGAAAATAAAGTCTTATATTATTTGTAAATTTCAGTGAAGCACTCAAGCATTTTATTTCGCTGGGTATTGCAACGATATATGTATGATATATGATACATACCTTGATTTCATACTTATCTGCACTGAGAAGGATAAAATCCCCAGGACTATGCATAAGAGATTTGACTTTGCACTTCTGCAAAACTACCTGTAATTGAAGGATGTAATGATTTATGTTGATGCTGTTAAATAACCAAACTTATATTTGCATTTTCCACTTCCTTGACAACCTGTATACTGTACTCGTGTATAAAGACAATACAAACACTTTTAGCAACTGAAGGGAAACTACAGTTTACACTTTTTTATTTCCTACTAGTGACAACTTACAGTATTGGTAAGTGAACATATGTACTACACCTCTAGACTGACCTCCCCGCCTTCCAAGTTCTGAAATACTCAGAAGAAAAATACTGGGTTTTGACTTCAGAACACCTATCAAGCTCAGATTTTGGTTATCAAGATCATTAGTTTTTCTACGTAATTTTTAAAGTAGCTTTCTTTCGGAACCATTGTTTATATTCATTCTTTGAATCAAACACTGATTCCTGATATTACGCCAGCTGCTTTGAAATAAAAATATCTTCAATGATCTGAAAGGTTTAATTATTGCGTCTTTAAGTATCTTTTCTGATGAAATGCTATTTTGCAGTATTTCCTGATGTTCTTCAGATTCTACACCAGATTCTACATAGTTTAGGATTAGGAAATAGAAATTTAGAACACGTTACAAACTTATTGCAAGTAAGTGTTTTGCAAGATTAATTAAAAATCAATATTCCCACCTTAGTGACCCATTCTGTGTGTCCAGTAAGGGTATTCAGGCACGTTCCTGTTGATAAGGCCCATACTTTCACAGTGAAGTCTGCAGAGCCACTGACCAGAATATCAAGTTCATCATTGTAATCCACACTAAAAACTACAAGCAAAGAGGGTACTAAATAAGGAATACCAGTCTGTATGCATGTGATTTTCTGTAAGTGAAACACTAGCTAGATCATATAGCCTCTAAAACCATATGCTACTACAGCTTTAACTGTTGATCTTGAACTGTTGCTCTGGATTCCTAAAAATTTTGCATCGCAAAATTGCTGATTTTTGTCCAAATTAGGAGCATGTACATCAGTGGTTCCTTTATGGCTGGACTATGGCAAAGCATAACTTTTTTTTAAAAAAGTTCCCATTTTAAGAGTTCTAGTAAGTCAGTTCCAGCAGGATTAGTACATGTGATGCATCTCATTACTCACAGGGGAGCAGACATACAGCTGAGTTGAGGATATTTTGCAGTAGAGGCCAGAGAAGTTAATTATGAGGGAAATACAAATACAGATTCTCAGGTTCTGCTGTGTTCTTTGCTGTAAGCCCACCTCTAGTCTAGGGATATAAAGAACAGCCGTGGCCACGTGCTCCCTGCTACCTAGGGTTTGTGTCTTGTTGGTAGACTCAAAAGTAGTGAATAACCATGGCATTTAGGATTATTTCCATGCAACTGCAAAACACTACACGGCTAAGCTTTGGCCTTATTCAAGGGCAGAGAGATTTAGATCTACTCTGGCTGCTTCCCCACCACAACCCCAAAAGGTGACTTGGGACAGAGCCTAAAAAAACCCCACTATTGTGCAAAGAGTTAACTTGCATCATCATCAAACAAATTATAATCTATGTTACTTGACTGATGAAATTACAAATTGAAAAGTCCAACGTACCTGCACCAGTATGTCCTCTAAAATGCTGTGTCTTTGCCCCAGAGCTCCATTCCCAACAGGCTACTGTGTTATCAAAAGATCCTGTTACAAGCTTTTGTTCATCAAACTTCACTGCAGCACAAGTGTGTGTCTGGATACCATATATGCACTGACCTGTGCTTACATCCCACAGTTTTGCAGACAAGTCATCTGATCCTAGAATATAAAATAACAGAGTAATTGAAAGCAAAGAGTAAATAATATTTCCAATCCTATACTGGTCTTCCATGTCTGTCTTAGTATTTTAATGGAATCACAGAATGATTAAGGTTGGAACAGACCTCTGGAGGTCAACTCTTCCAACCCTCCTACTCAAGCAGGGCCACCTAGAGCCAGTTGCCCAGGACCATGATCGGATGGCTTTTGAGTATGTCCAAGGATGGACGCTCCACAATCCCCCTGGGAAACCTGTGCTCAATCACTCTCACTGTAAAAATGTGCTTTAGAGGGAACCTCCCATGTTTCAGTTTGTGTCCACTGCCTCTTGTCCCGTCACTGGGCACCACTGAAAAGAGCTTGGCTCTATCTTCTTTGCACCCTTGCTTCAGGTATTTACATACATAGATAATATTCTCCCTGAGCCCTCTCTTCTTTAGGATAGAAAGCCCCAGCTCTCTCAGCCTTTCTTCATATGAGAGATGGTCCAGTCTCTTCATCATCTTCATGGCCCTTTGGTGGACTTGCCAGTGTGCCCATGTCTCTCTTGTACTGAGGAGCCCAGAACCAGCCACAGTACTCCAGGTGTGGCCTCACCAGTGCTGCATGGAGAAGGAGCACCTCCCTCAACCTGCTGGCAACATTCCTCCTAATACAGCCCCTGCTAAAGCAGCCCAGGATACCACTAGCCTTCTTTGCAGCAAAGGCATGTTGGTGGCTCATGGTCAACTTTGTGTCCACCAGGACCCGTGGGTCCTTCTCTGCCAGGCTGCTTTCCAGCTGGGTGGCCCCCAGCATATACTGGTGCCATAGAGTTGTTCCTCCTCAGGTGCAGGGCTTTGCATTTCCCCCTGTTGAACTTTTTCTCATTAAATAGTACTTTCAAGCTGTTGGAATGGCAAATAAGCCCTAATTTTAAGTCTCAGCAAAGCCTCTTGTTTTCATGTTAATTAAGCTACTAGATGTCTGGCCTTCCATTTTCCTCATATCCTTTCAGCACCTTCCATAGATTCCCACACTGCCTCTGACTGACAGTGTCTACTGAAATAGATGCATGGAAGTTTTACATGCTAAGTCACTCTCAGATTTGCAGAGCCACTGACTATACTGCAAGCTTTAGTTTGTTTCAGGTAGGAAAGGAGTCCACAAAATCTCAAAGGACAGCAGATGAATACCAGGACCCATCACCTGACAGTTTCCTTTCTCTCCCCAAAGTTGTTTTTTTGTTGTTGTTTTTGGTCTTGTTTGTTTGGTTTGGTTTTGGTGGTTTTTTTAAACTCATAAAGTAAGTCCAGACTTCTGGCTTCGGAGAGCAGAATAAAACCCTGGACCCTTACACTTGTTTCTCCTAGTGGTTTCAGCACAGAAGCGTGCCACTTTTCAGAAAGTTTTGACAATGATGCTTCCTGTGTATTCACATTCCCCGCTGAGTAGGGAAGCAAAGGACTGGCTAGAGTTCAGGTGTTGGTTTCTAGTAACCATCTTAATGTACCAACAAATGTGGGAGTACTTAGCCAGTATTCCCAACTTATCCTATAGCATTGTCATCTCAAGTGATTGGGAAATCCTTGGAATATACTCTGACAGCAGTCCACTGTAACTTCGTTACTATTCTTTCATACTGAAGGTTTCATATTTCTTCTGGCTGTATTTTTACATTCAAACTGAAATCCTGAAGTCTGCAGTCTTCAGGGAGAAAGCTAAAATTAGCATTACAATGTACAAGTCAGACTAGTAGCAAGGTTAAATCTAGTTTACAGTTCTTCATATAAGCACTTATGTTAAGAACTGAAAGTGCTTACAGACTGTATCAGAGAAACTGTCTTATTTCAAGGAAGAAGACAGACTTTTCTTGCCACACCTTGGGAGACTGAAGTGATCACACAGCCCAAACAAGATCCTTTTAACTGGAAGTTATCCTCCAACAAAAAAATTGGTCTCCTTGTTTTCCTATTAAACTGACTAAGTAGTTTATTAGTGTGCCAGGTGTTTTAGAAACTGAACACAAAGAAAAAGTCATTTTGAATCATCTTAAACTGCATTAGGACTATGAAAATAATCTGTCTGGTAAACGAAAAGCAAATTGTCATTAATCATACGGGGGGGGTGGGGGCAGAAAGCAAAGAACTGTAAGACTCCAAGTTTTCTGTCCTTCCTACCTGTACACAGAAGTCCATCTTTATAGTAAAGTGCATATACTCTGGCACTGTGTCCAATTAAAGAGGATGTCTCAAAGGCTTCGTGGTCCTTCAGTTGCTTCATCCTTAAAATAGCCTTTAGGTAAACCTTCTTCCAATGTAGAGGATCCTGAACAGAGTCATCTATTTGCCAACCCAAATTCTTACATGCAGTCTGCCACACCTCTGTACAGGCACTTATAACCTTATTCCACTGCTTAGAGACGAGGCAACATGTGAGTAAGGTCTGAGGATCAAGCCATTTTAACAGATAAAAACTAAGTTCCAATGGAAGAAGTTTGAGGAAGTCCCTCTTGAGGAGAATCTCTAGATTATTGGAGAGGTGCCTGAGCTGGACTGCTCCACTCAAGCTAATCAGGTGATCCAGAGTTTCATTTTTCTGCAAGTCCGTCAGAGAAAGAAATGTAATAGAAATGTTATCAAGCCATGCTTCAAAGTCCTTTTTCTCCATAAGGTTATGGAAAAATTTACCTGTGATACATCAAAATACTGTATTAGTTCCGTTCAGAAAACAAGGTAAGCATCACATCTTTATTACCGGTACATCAGTATTCCAAATGGCATGTTAACACATAGACTGAAGTGACCAAATGCATTTTAAAATATTCATTAGGTTAGGACTAAGAACTTGCATGTACTTTGAACTATCGTTTGTCCCGCATCAGGCTTAGAAGTAAAATGTATGGAGCTAGTGAATGTTAGCATTCATTATGAACATTAACATCTTTCTTGTTCTAGGTTAAGACTTTCGAATTCTGAATCCAATAAGGTAAGGGTTAGTTTAAGTTTTAAACCTATTACAGCAAATAAACACTGTTTTACACTTTACTCATGGAATATACTGATAAAGGGAAGAAACCAAAGCATATCAGCAGAGTGGTAAGCTAGTTACTGACAGAACTCATTCATACCTTTTTCCTGAACTATTTTAAACACAAAGCAGGCAACTGTAGTTTTTCTTAAAAAAGATACAGAAAGATGTCTGAAAAACTGTTTTGAAGGATATGTTAGCCATCTTTCTTTTTTGTCTGTGTAAAGACTGGAGATTGTACTGGTCTAGTATCAGTTTTGACATGTTTGCATTGCTTTGACCTAAACGTTTGGATTGTTTGGGTTTTTTTTTTTTTAATTCCTGGTGTGTTTTCCTATTTTTTCAGTTTATTTCCAATGAAAAGAACTAACTGTGAAACTGAAGGATTGAAATACTACCTCCTGAACTAGGCAATCTATATGCATTTATACTATCCTGACGCATCTCAAGTTCCTACAATAAGCTTGGACAAGTGATTACCATAAGCATCAGACAAACAGTTAAGAAGCTGTAATTATTTATTTTCCCTGGAAGATCCAATTCCATTCATTAGACAACTGGCTGAATTTAATTCATAGAAGCTCCCAAACCCAAAGAATGGAGGAATCTGAGTGGGAGTCAATTCTATGCAGAAATTTTACCTTCATTGAGTAAAATCTCAGAGTACACCTCTTAACATGGCATAGTAGTACAGAAAAGTACAGTCTGCAAAACGCCGCACATGGCAAGCAATTGTTGGTAAAAACACAAGAAGGTACTGAGTGTCAAATGCACGGAAACAGCTGCCCCTATCAAGTCACAAGTTTGTACAGTAACTTTTACTGCTGACAGCACGTACCAGCTTTCCTCAGTACATATGGCAGATAATATATTTGCTGTTCTAACAGGCATGCATTCTCTTAAAAAAAAACATTTCTAACAGGCTCCCCATGAATAAAAGATAGGTGAGGTCTAAGTGTTTCTTGTATTCAATACACGAAGTTAACACTGCAACCAAGAGCTGCTGTGGGGCCCCGAAACCGGTGGTCAGAGCCTGGGGCTCTTCGCTGGCTGTCACCCAGCGAGCCCACCGCTCCCCCTCCTGCTCCCATGTACCTCCGCACAC